TGTGGACTTTGACTCCTTTTCAGCTGATGCAGTATTATCCAACTGAATTTCATTGATGCAGAACAGCAATGACAAGACTCTACTGCTGATGACTCTAAGGAAGAGTCTAAAAAGACTGACTAAAAAGTTTGATGATGCTCATGGGGACTGTTTAACTTCCTGGACGTACATTACATAACGTTCAGCTTCATTTCCTTCACTTAAAGTATGTTTGTGAATAGGGTACAGTCAGTTTAAAAAATGCTCTGTGTACTGCTGTGGAAACGAAAGGGAGTGCCCTCGGCTCTTGCTGAAGAGAGATGCTGAGAACATGCTGCACCATAATAAGTGCTCAGCTGTTCCTTGGATCAAGACCTGCTGCATGAAGAGGCATGAGGAAGCATAAAACCAAAAGTAATATAGCCTAAAGTCAGGCAGAACCAGAGAAGCAGTTACTGTTATGACTAGAATGATAATTAAGAGCTGAATTCCCAGTTGTCAGTAGAACAGTCTACGCTTGTACCAGAAGTACAAGAAGAATTGAACTGAAGAATTTACCCCAGACATCTCAGATTAGACTGATAAGATCAGAACGTTGTCACGTTGACTGGCAAGACTGGATCAGATGTCTGTTCTGTTTCACAGGCTTCACCCTACTGACCATCTTCCATTTGCTTTGGCACATCTTGCTTTACATATATGAAAATATATGAATGAGTTCTATCTTAAGAGATCACTGCCAGCAGAAGAGCTGGTTGCATCCTCTGCCTATCATAGAATGGTTAGGATTGGAAGGGACCTTAAAGCTCATCCAGTTCCAACCCCCCTGCCATCAGCAGGGACACCTTCCACTAGACCAGGTTGCTCAAAGCCTCATCCAACCTGGCCTTCAACACTTCCAGGGAGGAGCATCCACAGCTTCTCTGGGCAACCTGGGCCAGTGTCTGACCACCCTCACAGTGAAGAACTTCTTCCTAATATCTCATCTAAACCTCCCCTCTTTCAGCTTAAACCTATTTCCCCTTGTTTTGTCATTAACTGCCCTTATGAAAAGTCCCTCCCCAGCTTTCTTGTAGCCCCTTCAGGTACTGGGAGGCCGCTATAAGATCTCCCTGGAGCCTTCTCTTCTCCAGGCTGAAAAGCCCCAACTCTTTCAGCCTGTCCTCACAGCAGAGGTGCTCCAGCCCTCGGATCATCCTGGTGGCCCCCTCTGGACTAGTTCTAACTGGTCCATGACTTTCTTGTGTTGGGTGCTCCAGAACTGGATGCAGTATTCCAGGTGGGGCCTTACGAGAGCGGGGTAGAGGGGGAGAATCACCTCCCTCGACCTGCTGGACACACTTCTCTTGATGTATGGGTGCTCCTTCCCACCTCCCTGGCTCTCTTCCTTTTCCCTGGATGTGTATATGGGGAACTTCACTGGCAAATCTATTAGATAACCTCTCTAGACTTCAAGTGATGTGGAAGGGGAAGTAGGGAGAAATCTAAATTGGTTGGTTTTAGTTCATTCCTACTGGGAAATTTAATTCTGCACAGCTTAACCTCTTTCATAGCCATCAATGGGATTTAAGTGTGTATTTAAAAGCTAAGTTTACATTTAGTGCTTTGTCTTGTAAAAGCATTTCATTATAAATCTTCTTTGTGCCCAACTATGTACTTATTCTATTTTCTGTCCAACTAAATAATTAAGAATACTATAACTTGATTATTTCACATGAAAAGCTTTTCAGGAGTGGTTAGGAAGAAAGATTACTTCAATTTGTATATAAGTTTTTGTGGTTTGTTGGATTTTTTTAGCATTGTTTGATACCAAATATTTTATTAGCACGCAGATAGTCTAACCCACACGTTAAGCATTTCATTAAGATGTATAAAATTCTCCCTCCTGCTGTTGTTTAAGCCTGTCTGGCAATAACATATATGACAAAGATCAGCGATGGAGTGCTGAATAGCTGCCCCTGCAACTAAAAGACTGGGGGAAATTTACTTTTTGAAAATTGAAGATTATTTCACATCTGTTGTAACCTTGACAGCTCTCAAAGTGAGCTCGGTTCTTGACGCAGGGGTGGAAGAGCTGAGCTGTCTGTGTAATTGTGTCCACATTGAGCAACACAACTTGTTTGCTGAGATTAGAATGTGAAATCCCCCACATCTGCAGGCCAGTTTAAAAGCCACAGTGATGCTCAGGGCTCATCCTCAACAAAAGAAAGATGAGCTTCTGCTTATGGATATTTTTTTTTTTAAATACCATTTTTGACACTGCTCTTGACCTCCTGCATGATATAAATTTAGAAGCTTTTCTCACCTTGTACAGCTTTTAGGATGAGAAACTAATACCTGGGCTCAGTCTATCATAGTGATGTGCTGAATGAAGTCTTATATTATGTAATATTAAGAGAGATACATGTTCTTTTTAAAAAAAAAAATAAACCTAGAATGCCCAGCACCACGAAGAAAATTGAGAAATCCAGTTCTTTTTTTATAACAGTAATCTTAATATCCCTAAGCCAATAATTAATAAATGGACAAGCTAAAAAAAATTAACTGCTTTTAAGAAACGCAGTTATTAGGGAAGTTTGAGGTATGTTGATAATGTTTTGACCAATTAAAAGATTGTCTCAGTCTTTATGAAATAAATAGCAATGGTCTTGGCTCAGACTGAGGTGTTTTCCATTGGGCAGCAGTGAAGTGCTGGATAATTTTGTGAGTGTACTGAAATGGGTGATCATCAGGTAATAAGCACAGGAAGAAGGTTGTGCTTTAGGCTTGTATGACTGACTCTGTGCCATTCTGAAAGAGAATAAGAGCCTTTGGTGGAGATTTTTGATACCTTGCTAAGAATCAGAGAAAGGTTGATCAGGTCCAGTCCAGAGAGATGAAGTGATGCCAGCAGAAAGGAGGGCTTATTAAAAATCATAGAATCATGGGATGGTTTGGGTTGGAAGGGACCTTCAAGCTCATCCAGTCCCAACCCCCCTGCCATCAGCAGGGACACCTTCCACTAGACCAGGTTGCTCAAAGCCTCATCCAACCTGGCCTTGAACACTTCCAGGGAGGGGGCATCCACAACTTCCTTGGGCAACCTATTCCAGTGTCTGACCACCCTCACAGGAAATAATTTCTTCCTCATATCTCATCTGAATCTCCCCTCTTCCAGGTTAAAGTCATCACCCCTTGTTCTATCACTAACTGAAAAAAAAAAAAAAATTGAGAAAAGGGGCATATTTCATACATAGATGAAGGAATCATGAGAAAGGAGATGGGGGGGCAGGGGAGAAATAAGGCTCTAGCTACCGTGTCCTACTGAGAGCCTGTCCTTTTTCCCTGAAGCACATGTGACTGCTGCACCAGTTCATCTATTTAATTTTCTTAGTGAAAAAATAAACAAAAGGCTGATCTGTGGCTGGGGGACGGGGAGAACCTGAACTAGTGGCTGCAGCAGTTGCTCCCAGGGCGTGTGTGTGTGCACCCTGTTGCTTCTTACATTTTCTCTGCTATAAAATGTGAGTAATAATGCTTAAATTATGTATCATTCAGTGTTGTGCGAGTTCATTAGATAAGGCTACATAGTCCTTTGAAGATGAAATGCATAATATAAATGTCATATAATGCTGACTAAGGGTCTCTGTGTCAGGTATATAGAACCATGGTGAGTGCAGACATGGGAGAGCTGGGAGGCAGAAGGTGGAGGCACTGGGGCTGGCTGCTTGCAAATTGACTTCAGTCGAGCAACAGAAAAGCACATTCTTCTTAAAAACACAGATTTATCCTGTGCTGACAAGCCCTGCAGAGTGCCACAGCAACATGTAAAGACTTCTGGACTGAACCTTTTAGTTGTGTACTCTCTAACCTACCACTTCAGGAGTCTTTGCTTTGTTACATGTGAGAGAGATCCAAAGGGGCAAAGAGAAGGAACTGAAATGCAAGATCTCTTGGCTTGGTATGTTGGACCCAAGCCACTTGGCAGTAGTGGGTTAGATGCCAAGGTAGCCTGAAGTTTAAAGGAATAAATGGAAGGATGAAGATAAATGGAAGACATACATATATGGCTCCAGGAGCCGGAATTTTAATAATATCAGTGGTTGTGTGATGAGCCAAACTGGAACTGTTGCTTAATGAAGCATTTTAGCAAAGCTCAGGGGGTGAATTACTCAAAAGCATTAGTGCTATAACCCTTTTTTCTGTTTAGTTTACTTCCTTGTTTCCCCAGTTGGATCTTTCTCACTGGTGTATACAATAACTTTATCCTCTAAAGATCTCTGAGCAGGTGTTGTCTCTTAGCTAGCATAACTACCTAACTTTTCACCATTATTTACTAACAAAAGACATTTCATTTGGTAACTAAGGCATGATTATTTATTTTTTTATTCCTTTCAACAATTTTTTGGCTGCTTACCATGTGTTTTGCAACTGAGCAACATCACGGTACATTTCGTTTGTCACCGGTGTCAGCAAGCTCTCTTACGGTGCTTGAAATAGTTTGACCAGTTTGGGGCTTAGAGTGACTTAGATGAGTAAGTTGCATCTTACTGGAAGGTCAATCAAAAGAAATGTGGATTTGTAAGTCTCCTTGGTGAAAAAGCACAGAAATACTTATTAATTCCAGATCAGCATTGCTTAGCAATGACAAAGGGAAGATTAGAAAGTAACAGTAGGGAAGGCGTTGCTGTGTCTTTGAGGTCTTTTTCTGTAGAAGTTGTGTTTTGTTAATCTATTGTTGAAAGATTTCAAAAGCATAAAGTCACATAATGAGTAGGTTTTTGTTGGTTTTTTTTTTTAATAGATCATTATTTCAGTTTGAACAGTGTATGTATATATATATAGATAGATAGATAGAGATATATATAGATATAGATATATTGGTTTCTTCTCCAGATAACCAAGTTCTTCATTAAACTCCATAACTAGTATTTTTTTCCACGTGGATTTAAGACTGAGTTTACTATTCCTTTTCCACTTGGGTTGAATCTTCTGTTACTTAAACAAGGTTAACTTATTTTCTCTAAAATTTTTCTTGCAGGTCTTAAAATCCCCAGCCATGTATTTCCTTGGACTGTTGTCTTTGCTTGTTTTGCAAAGCGAAGCCTTCAAGACCGATTTTCCTGATGAAACCATTGCTGAGCTTTCTGTGAATGTTTACAATCAGCTGAGAGCTGCAAGAGAAGATGAGAATATTCTTTTCTCTCCTCTGAGCATTGTGATAGCCATGGGAATGGTAGAGCTTGGAGCCCATGGAACCACTTTGAAAGAAATTCGACATTCCTTGGGTTTTGACAGCTTAAAAAATGGTAAGGAAGGCCTTTTAGTCATGTTTTTATTTAAAGAAACAGATGGCAGTGCCTTAACAAGGGTGGAAGTGGTCACATCTGTGGGTTATTAATCAGTAGACTTCTTGGCATCCTGTTTGATGGCCTGAGCAGGCTGAAGCGTGCTTCAGTGGATTCTGCATATAAACTGAGAGATGCTGACATACAGTCCTGGCTTGGGCACCTGAATCTTAAGCAACTGCTGTTTAACTGTTGATCTTGGTTTCCATCTGCAAAATCAGCTTGTTTTTGCCTCAAGAGTTCCTACAGTTCTCTAGAGTTCCTAAAAAGGAACATCATTTTGGGGGATTATAATGAAACCTAAAAAGGAAGGCAGGAGTTTTAGCAATATTACTTATATGAAAGTATGAAAGTCTTAGTAATTTAACTGGAAATGTCTCTTGACTTTAACACAACTTGTTTGGTTCTTTTAGGCAGAACCTGTGGGTTCATTACACTAATTTGATGTCACTAATGTTCTGTCTGTGTTGCATAATGTCACATACAGAGCTAATTTGGGAAATAAAAGCATCTTGATTGTTTCAACACAATATTCCACGTGTTCCCATCAGCCTTTCTGAGAAACAGGATTCATTTCTTCAGCAGAGAACAAATCCTGCTCCATTTGTAGTATGGGATGAGCTAAGTCATGCGTCTGGATGCAGTGCTGGGCTGTGGAGTGCCAGCCCACTCTGTTAGTGCAGGCAGCTGTAATATGACTGCAGATGGAGGGGATGAGGGAATGGCAAAAAAATACTCTGAAAGGGCAATTTCTATGAATTTTGATGTCAAAGTAATTGGTTTGAAACCTGACTTAAATTTGTTATTCATACAAGGTACTGGACTTTTAAGTCCTTAGTGAAAGGATCTTGGGGAGGAATTTCTGAATGCAGTGTTCAAGACATGCTCAGCAGTACCACAGCACAGATTCTGCTTCTCTGTGGAGACTCCAGCTCATACTCAGTTCTACAGTTTGTCTCTAAAACATTGATAAATTATCCCTCAGCTATAATCAAAAAAGTTATGCAGTTGATTTGAGCTGGGCCATTCTTACATATGAGTGGTATTCAGTGGAAGTACTCCAATGATTTCTGCTTGGAATATATCATTACATTCAATTTTTAAGGTGGTGGGTTTTGGGGGGATTCTTTTTGTTTGGGTTTTTTTTGTTTTGTTTTGTTTGCTTGTTTTTTAATTAGAAACTTCACCTTCAAGTAGACAATGCAATGGTAAAAACTTCCTATCTTAAAGCAAACTACTTTAATCCTACTCAGGATTCCTCATTAGCCAAGCAAATGTTTGTATACCACCTCACACACAATCCTGGACAATTCTAGACCTGTTTTTTGCAGAGAGAAGTCTATGAGGAAGTTTTTAGCCTCAAAACCTGAAGTTCCTTTTTCCTTAAACTGCCTTTGGGGTGTAACAAAAATTCTCTTCAGGATTTATGGTGGCAAGACATAAATGTGTGACTTACAATATTTTATTTTTTTTTAATTACTCTTTTGGTGTTGAAAGTGATTACCAATGATAGCTTTGTCTGTGATGGCATCCAAATGTCTCATTAATTACACTAATAATAGGTAGTAGAAAAAAATAAGCTCTAAATAATATCTTCTGCCTTCTGGATTGTTCTTTCAGCTCTGAAGGTTTAGAAGCAAGTTTATTACAGGAAAACCAAACAAACAGAAAACAAAACACAACAAAGAAACCTTTTTGGGGGTTTTTTTTGTTTGTTTGGTTGGTTTTGTTGGTTTTTTATTTTCATAAAATGTCTTTGTGAATTGCCAGCAGAAAAAACATGGAATAACTTTCTTTTCTGAAGCACTGAATCTGTTTTTCTTCAGGTGAAGAGTTTACCTTCTTGAAGGACCTTTCTGATATGGCAACTACTGAAGAAAGTCATTATGTTCTGACTGTTGCTAACTCTCTCTACGTGCAGAATGGATTTCATATCAGTGACAAATTTCTGCAGTTGGTGAAAAAATACTTCAAAGCTGAAGTAAATAATATAGATTTCAGCCAAAGTGCAGCTGTAGCTACTCACATCAATAAGTGGGTGGAGAATCATACAAATAGTAAGTCCACATGATTCCTTTATGTACTTCCTGCAGTAAGTGTTTGTTTCCAAAGTTACACAGTGTTGTTGAATTGTTGCCTTGGCTTCTATCTGTTCCTTTTGAGACTAAAGTATCTCCTCCCATAAAAAGAATTCAAGTATCAGCTCTTTGTGAAATTGCTTTTTTTTTTCCTGTGCAGGGATGATCTGTTTTAAGTAATATTGCCCATTGCTAATCATGTGGTAGTATCTGTCTGAACCTTTTTTTCCCTGTCTTACTATCTTAAAGTACCTGAAACATATATTGAAGGAGAATGTTTTAATGGTAGGCATTTTAATAGTATTATCATACTGATTTCAGTATTAAATGACAAAAAAAAATAGATAAGTACTGTTGCTAACTGCAGAAGAGTTGACTACAAAGGGGTTGTTGGCTTGTGCTTTGAATGTGTGGAGTGTCACTAGTTCTCTGAGGAACTCATAGTTACAAGGTACTGAGAATAGAATACTAAGGAATACAAAAGATAATTCTGAACCACAAAACCAGGCCCTGTAATTTAATCTTTTCCAATGTGAGGAAACTAGATAGTGTGTTGAGTGAGTAGTTGATTTTAAGGAAGACTGTCAAAAGAGTTTCACAACAAAAATTTGCAGCAGGGGAGTAAGCACAAAATTACCAATGTAAATGTATATATTCAGATCTGAGTGATGGAGTGCTTGCTTCGCTTGTGGAATCCCAAAGGTGAGACATTTTCTGAATACATACAGAGTCTCAAGGTATGGGAGTGGAGTTAGATCCCTGTTGTAGGGATCAAAGCGTGATCTCATTCTAGTTCATCTGGCACACTCTGGAAGTTGCTATTTTAAGAGTAATTCCACAGGGATTTGGTTCTAACATCAATTGTACCATTGTAAATTTGAAGGTATCAGAATCCCTTGTAAAGAATTAACACATCACCATGTAATCTGAGCATTTAAGAATCCATAAGGTTTTGTGGAGATGTATGGCACCAAAGTGGAAAAAAAACACTTCATATAATGCTATTATTCAATTTTGGAAATTATCTGGGTTTTTTTCCAAGGGAAAATGTCAACTATTATATTCATAATGAATTCTGCCCTTTATCTCAAACTACAGAAATAAGAGGAAATGTAAGTGATGCAGCAGATTGCAGAGAGTTTTGGGAGAAAGGTGGTGTCTGTCTGAAGGAAAAGTGAAATTCTCTTTTAGAAAGAACCAAGTTCTCCTGCTTAATACCTGCCACGTGCACTGAGTGAGCTCATAACCATTGTCCTGGAAGGAGCTGTGTGGAGTTAAAGGCAGCGGTGGGTCTCCCAGCATTAGGTTGCGATAGTAACAGTCCCTCAGCCTGGTGTCTGACCACTAGATCTCATTCTCTCCTGCCTGCCAGCTCTGACAGAAGAGGCTCATTTTCTCATTAGAAGATGGGTACAAGACAGGCAGGTTTCCAATTCCAGGATGTTAAGCATGATGGGAGGGTCAGAGCAGAAAACATAACTGTCAAAGGTTTCTCTGGCCAGAAAAATTCTTAACATAGGTTAGTGTATTAACAAGATGTGGCTGAAAAATAGAAGGGAATATGATGTACCAAATAGAAATGGAAAAACTGGAAGTGTATTCCTTCGTAATTTTTCCTTGTTTGTTTGTTTGTTTTTTTCCAACCATAGTGAGTATGGCAGTGTGGGTCACATCTCATTTCTAAGAATGTTCTAGGTAAAATAAAGTACAAACAGCAACCCAGAAGAAATACTGCCATACAATACACAAATTTCACAGCAGTTAGTCGGTGTTACACGCTCCAGAAAGCAGAATTAATCTGTATTTTAAACTGTGGATTAAGAAGTAGTAATCAGACTGAGGAATATGTTTATTTTAACACCTTGCATTGCAATGTCAGTTAAAAATAGAAGTGAGCAAGAAAGCTATCTAAAGTAGGCTGTAATTCTTCAAGAATATTGACAAATCTGGTCAGTGTCCCAAATTTAACAAGCTCAAAATTGTTTTGCTGCAAAGCAAGCCGTTTAAGATGAGCTAAAGCAGGTAACAGACTGTTTTCTGATGTAAATGACTTATTGAGGAGTTAGGAGCAAAGCAGCTCAGCTGACAAACCTCCAATGAATACAGCAGATGCTAGATGGTTTTTTCTCTCTTGCTTTTCAAGAGCTAATGTCAGTGGAACAAATGCTTGGAATTTACAGGGGGTTTTTTATGATTAGTCCTTACTTTGAAGTCTGTTGGACGTTACTTGATTAGAAACTGATTGCTTCCTTCAAAACTGGCCTAGGTGAAGTTCCAATGGGTATACTTATAGACTTTAAATTAAGCACCCATTTAAGTGCTGCTTTGGATTGGAGCCAGAGTTTGTAGAAGTTCTGACCTTAAGAAGCTAGCTCTGAACTGTGTTATAGCACCAGCATAAACGTTCCTTATGTGACCCCTTCTACACTTGGTTTCATTGTGGGGTGGATTTAAGCAATGATCAAGAAACAGTTGATTTAACGTGTACTCAGTGGAAGGGTTTATGCACCCACACTGTGAATTAGGTTGACAAAACACTGGCAGTTTTATTTGAGATTTCATGGAACATCTCAATAGGAAATGACAAGTTAGCACAGCTTTTTATTTTCTTGCATTTTTCGAGCTGTCTTAAGTTTTGATGTAATGCTCAATTTGACATGCAGATTGACAGTTGTTTTTTTCTTCGTAGATATGATCAAAGATTTTGTGTCTTCAAGAGATTTTGGTGCTCTCACTCATTTGGCTCTCATCAACGCAATCTACTTCAAAGGCAATTGGAAATCACAATTCAGACCTGAAAATACAAGGACGTTTTCTTTCACCAAAGATGATGAAAGTGAAGTGCAGATTCCAATGATGTACCAGCAGGGAGAGTTTTACTATGGTGAGTTGGAGCTTTAGCAATTTACAGCTAATCAGTCTTCCCTTAATGGGTTTGTTGCAGTAATGCTCATTTGTATTGTTGTCTCTTCTTTCACCTAGAATTTCAAATGTGGTGTTTGCCTAATGAAGGGACTCTGGTTTTGATGTCTTTTCATAATGTGTGTGCTTGTGTATTGTAATGATAGCAACATTTATAATGACCTCTTTCCTGATTACTTTTTTAGGTATGTGTTTGGTGCCACATGGTGGATTTCAGAATGTTTATCCATTATATCTAACTGCTTTACAGTTCTTGAGCTAGTCCTGCTTCTCACTAAAATATTTCTCTTGTGCTGTACTAAATATTAAAATGAATAATATTTGCTCATTACTGTTGTAGCATCTTTAGAAAGGTAAAATGGGGATTTTTTTGAGCAGCAAAACTAATGATCATTTTTATCTTGAGCTTGAACTTCAAGTGGATTCTCTAGTGTCTAGCATTGGCAGTATTTCAGTCAGTCTCATAATTGACAAATTATCTCTCCTGAGTAAAAAAAAAAGTCTGCCCATTTCCATTAATGTCTTGGCAGCCTTAACTTGAAGAGTTCCCTCTGTCTAACTGTTGGAAGGTAGGTAATAGATTCAGAAGTGTGATTATTGACAAACTGTGTAATTTCACACTCTTGTTTTCTTTAAGAAAGCAGATATAAGCCTCAAATTCTGTGATGGAGAAACCAATATAAATGTTACACAGAACAGAATAAAGAGGGTCACTTTTAGTTCCAGTATCTAGTAAATACTGCCTACTATTTGCATTCTATTTTTCCCTTATCTCCAGTGAACACAAAAGAAAATATTTCTAATAGCTTTTGTTGTTGTTTTTTTTTTTTTTCTTTTGTAGGAGAGTTCAGCGATGGCTCCAATGAAGCAGGTGGTATCTATCAAGTTCTGGAAATACCATATGAGGGAGATGAGATTAGTATGATGATCGTTCTTTCCAGACAGGAAGTTCCACTGGTCACACTGGAACCACTGGTCAAAGCCTCATTGATTAATGAATGGGCTAATTCTGTAAAGAAGCAAAAAGTGGAAGTGTATTTACCAAGGTGAGAACATGCTCCCGTGTCAATAGAAGGGGAAAGACTGCATTCAAATTGATTGCAGTAGCAGAGGAGGTAAAGCTGGAACATCTTGATCAAGTCTGCAGTTACATAGCACCCATCATGTGAAAGTTGCTTTGCCAAGAAAGCCCAGAGGTGTGCATTGCAGAATGATGGTTGGTTGAGCAACAGACGAGCACTGTGTTTGCATCCTTTTCGTATGTAAACTCCAGAGAGGAGAATTTCATCATCAGGAAGATATCCACTCTGAATTGTAGAACTCATTATGGATAAGTTCCATTTAGAGAGGAGCCATAGAAATATTGCAAGTCTGAATTAACAAAAGCTAAAATGTTTCATTTAGGCCCTAATTAGATTTCTATGTGCTGCTAATTTAAAAAGTTCTAATGGTGTGTGTTGTTGAGAGGCAATTCCACTCAATTTGCATCTTTTTTTCTTAGTTGTGGTAAGTGCTGGTTTCTTTTTCCTTAGAGGAGCGATAGAAAACCAAGACAGTACTACCAGAAGGGATGAAACTTCTGTCACTTCATTTTCAGACATAGATTGTGTGTACTCAGTGGCATATTTGCTCACATACACCACTTAGTTATTCTTTCCTAGAATTCTGTTTCATCTGCCTTCAGATATTTTCCATGCTTGCTCTACACTTGACTTAATAACAGAGTTGTTTACTACTCAATGTCACTAATAATGAATAGTTGGATCATGATGTCCTTTGAGTGATATGTAATGATTTCATTGAAGTGTTTATGTAACAGTATGGCCCAAGTTTGTTGTGGATCATTTCTACTTATCCTGCTTTTGAGGCACTGTGCAGCGGGTACATGGCCACAGAAAAAATAAACTCTAGTGAGTCCTTTTAATCATTAAAACAGTTCTTTGTTTTTAGGTGACTTGAAGATTTGAGTTTGTTATATTTCATATGTAAAGAGCAGGGCAAGAATCCCTGCAGTTTATCAGCTGCCTTTCCAAGCAAAGACCACTCTCAAGAAGCTAACTGCAGCCGAGCACAATAACACAAGGCTAGCCAGGATAAATTAGATTGAGGTGGGCTGGTGCTGTCAGCTTGCCCTGATTACAACTCAAGATGGAATTCCACTTCTCTTTAAAGCTGTTATGCTTGGAGTCGGAGTGGCGAGGGAACAGCAGCATTTGGGGACTTATTTTTCTCTGCCCCAGAGGAAGAGTTCCTTTCTTTTTTTAAGTAGCATTTCCTTTGAAGAAGCAGGGAGAGCAGCAAAGAGCTGCATTGCAGGTTTTTTATATACAAACTGAACCTATTGTACACTATTCCAGTGATTTTTGTTTGTTTTTCTCTTGGAGTTTCAGGTCCCAGGAGCTTTAGTATTAACAGTCCACTAAGATGCAGGGGAGGGACGTTTCTCCCAGGCTGTTTCTCCTGCAGTCTTGGGCAAACCTTACCTAGATGTTAATGAGAAGTAAAATATGAGGATTCTTCCATCCCTTAAGCTTTTCTTTTGTAACTGGAGCATTTCACAGCCTGTGCTTCAGGTGCTGAAGTCGGGCATCTTCTCTCAAAGAACTTCTAGAGATCCACAACAGAATTCTTTCTCAGTTGATTATATAGGGAATCTGTGAATACTAGGTTCCAAATTTAAGAAGCTTAGGTATCTAAAGTTAAATATGTGAGTGCCATTGAAAAAGTACTAATTATGTTTCTGACTTGAACTAAGTTTATAGAGGTAGTTTTGGGGTTTTTTTGCTTTTAATCAAAAGCAGAGACTCCAAGATTCTCTGTAGCTGGATTCTCAGACATTAATTTGAGGCTTAGGTTTTGTGTGGACATACAATGTCCTTATTTATTCCATCCTCAGGCTAGTCATCATGCCTGTTGCTCTTATCTAAGAACCTCAAAGAACTTGGTAAACATTTATGAATTAATGTTATACAAAGGCAAAACAGGTACAACCAGGTGCTGATTACCTTCAGGATTTTCAGATTATAAAAGATAACTATCATGAGCTTGAAATTCCATATAGTAATACTGGTGTCCTTCACAAAAATTCCAGAGTTTAATTATGTGATCCCAAGGTGTTGTATTTCATTAGGGATTCGGAGATGATCTGCAGGATTTTATCAATGCTCTAAATAAACAGTTCATAAATATTTTATGCTCTGACTCAGAAAGGCATGTTATGAAATGTGGCCTGCAGGCTCTGTCCACTGAGAAATTGAAAGCAGCAGTGGAATAAAATTAAATTTTTATATCCTGAAAGATGCTATCCAATTATAAAGTGAACATTTTTTAAACTTATACATTTGTAATAGGACCTGAATGACTAGCCAAAGCAGAGTTAATCACAACTTTCCAATTTCTGTCTGCATTATCTGTGTGCAAATGAAATTGTGTATTATTCCTCTTAATAGCAGAGAGAGATTTGTACAGAATTGGTAAATTATACTTTCTCATTTTCATTTTCAAATCATTGTTTCCAGCTTAACCAAGACTAAAGTGATCAACATTTTAATCCACTTTTTGCATAGGAGTGAAACAGACCATGAATCTAATTTACAAAGCTGTCTCTCTAACACAAATTATTTGAAGAGCATAGGAGGAACCAGTACCAGTAATAACAGTGTTACAGTCTGCAGATCTCCTCTTACGGATGGTTCCAGTATGTCTAGCTCTCTATAATGACCTTCTTGCTTTTTTTTGTACATTTAAAATATCTTAAAAATGCCTTAGAAGGTGTTGACATGTTAAGTTTCTTTCGCTGAGGTTGTTTTCTCTAAAAAAA